ACCAACTTGACACAGAACCATGAGGGTCATGCAAGAGACTGAGTAGGGGATTGCAATTGAGGCGATAACAAGCAATGGGGGAATTCTGATTGGAGAAATCAAGCTGCTAAGCGTACGAGAGGCTGTCCATCAGTCCTGTTGCTTGTGACCTGTCAGTCCGTCCATACGTCTCGCTGTTCGTCATCTGTCCGTCCGTCCGTCCGTCTGTCTGTCTGTCTGTCCGTGGTCCCATGGTGAGTTGGAGTTGGAGAGGGTCTCGGTGTCTAGGGGGGTCCTGTGCTCCTATGGACTCCCACTGTAGGAGTAGTCTGCCTTGTTGTGCATCACCAGCTTGTTGTCCACAAAGTAGAAGCTGTCGGACTGCGTTTTGTATGGGTGTAGGATCATCTCACGCACTGAGGAAGAAGACAGAGGAAGGACATATCAGTGTGTGTGTGTGTGTGTGTGTGTGTGTGTGTGTGTGTGTGTGTGTGTGTGTGTGTGTTTGCGTGAGTGTGTGTGTTTTAGTGAATGTGTGTATGTGTGTTTGTGTTGGACTGTGTCTTATGGGTACAGGAAGTGCGTGAATGCATGAGTGCTATGTCTGCGTCTCTGTTTCTATGTGTATCTATACTCACTGATGTCCTCTGACAGAGGGGGGAACTCGTAGATGTGTTCGCAGGTGTTCTTGCTGCTGGGCATACAGAAACCAAACTCAAAATCAAAGCTCTTGAGGAGCTGCTCTCTGAAGTAGTGCCTCTCAATCATCCTGAAGTTGTTGATGGGCATGTCTCCCACTGTGAACTCCACACTGTGTCAGAGAGGACAGGGGGACAGAGAGATCCGATAAACTATTGGAAACACACTTACACACATCATTTGTTTGTTATAGTTTGCTGCAGAAGGGAAGTATAATTACGTTTCCTAATTTGCCCCCTCTACCGTAGCCCTTTCCTGCAGTCCAATGAAACAGTGGCCTCATTGGTGGAATGTTATTCATATATTTCATAATTTCATAATTAATAAATATATAATTTTTTTATATATATAATATATACGGTTTTGTTATATTTCAGTCTTCTGTGATGTATATAAAGTGTAATATTGGAATGCAAACTCCAAACATTTCAACTCTATATCTGACATGGTACAGCTGTCTTCTTATTTTTAAGCCCATAACCATGTGTGTGAGGTGTATACTTTGGTTTTAAAGTAGATTTGTTTAAGACTACCAAGAAACACTCATTTAGCCCACTGCAGTAATTAATAACAACTGGCCTGACTCATCTCATCTCTCTTTCTCTCTCTCTTTCTCCCTCACTCTGCCTTCTTTTCTCTCTCCCTCTCTCTTTCTCTCTGCCCCCTACTGTACGGCCTTCCTGCCTCCTTGGTATCTGTCACTCACAAATACGCACGCACGCACGCACACACACACCACCGAGAATAGCCCTCCCCATCTGTCTCCTCTCAGAAGAGAACAGCAGGGCACTGAATGGCCACCACACCACCACCCTTACACACCCACGCCCACACCCACACACACCCTGGCGGCCATCTTAGCTGTGACTTACGTGGCTCCGACCTGGCGCAGCTGCAGGAAGGCAGGGGTGAACTGGTAACGGACGAAGCGGCCTCCGTTGGGGTCCAAGTCCTTCTTTTCGCCCGCTGCCACAGTGTCACAAAAGAGACCGCGTTAACAAGCCTGCGTTTTTGAAGACGGTCTCTCTGCTGTGTACCTCTCTGAATAGACACTGTTTCAGAGCCTTAGATGATCAACTCACACAGCGAAATAACACCTTCTCAGTAGTGACCTAGCTAATAGGAGTAATTAATTCATGAATCATGCATATTACTGCCTGGGACTTGTTAACCCAGAGGTATATGCTGCTCACACATATTGTAGGTCTTAAAACCTCTTCGTCATCAGAAGCTATGACCTGTAGTTTAGTGCCACAAGTCATATATCCTAGGCTCTAATAATAGAGAATATGTTAACATGTATCTATGAATATGTTAGGGAACACAAATACTAATGGTTATATATAGCACAGACAGACCTTTTACTGACCTGGTGCTGGTGGTTTGGTGATCTCAAACAGCACCGTCCCTGTCTCCATATCTTGATAAAGTACATTCCCAACATATAGCTCATACACAGTACATGTATCTAATATATGTACTATATAATATGATAGTTTCGACATAGCACGTACCTGGTGCAGGGGGTTTGGTGATCTCAAACAGCACCGTCCCTGTCTCCATGTCTCGGATCTTGAACCGTGTGAAGTCGATCATGTGAACGTTCTCCTCTGGGGAACATAGGTAGTCTGAAACAGAAAGGGGACAGAACACCTTTTAATCGGAATACAGTAGGGCTACAGTAGGGCTACATACTCTACAGAACATATTTTAGTCAAAGGAATGAACAGTAGTTCCACAAAGACTATGTGATACTTTTACGATACTTTTGTTTACGTTCATGAACATTCTAGAATTGTCAACCTCTTGCATACAAATAGACCAGACATTTTAAATATATTAGTATGAGAAAAAAGAAGAAACGTGCACACTGCTCTTGCTAGTATCACTGCTCATTATTAAGCTTTACGTATCGGCCTTATATTAGTATAAAAATTCACTTTTATCAAATAAAGGAATGTAAAAGCATGAAACTTGGTACACTTGTACACCTGGACTACAAGTAATAATATCTATGTTAGAAGACAATTCTGCAGTTGTTACAGCCTTGTGCACATTTATTCAGCTCTTCCAAAACATGAGCCTTCACTAAGCACTCTGACCCTGCCCCATCCAGCCACTTTGCCTGCCTGTCAGATCCTCACCTAACAGAGAGACAGAAAGCGCTATTTTTACTCCTCTAATCCTTGCGTCTGCCAAGATGTGACACTGACAATAACCACAGTCTTATAGTCACTGGAGAACTTCTCTGTGATAACATGCAGGCCCACAGTTGTTGTGTCACACTAACAGAACTGACAGTTTGGAATATGAGACACTTCTATAAGGCCCTCTCACAGAACTGACAGTTTGGAATATGTGGATAGACAAAATATTAGGACAGAAATAGAACACTAACCAACACTTGTGGTTCCAATACTGCTCACTTGCTTGGAGCATGGTGTCGACAACACTAGGGCAACACCAGGGTGCCAGCCAACTTAACCTAAGGTTTGGGTTGAGGGTACTGTACGCTGATCCCACACAAAAAGGGTTCCAAAACGGTTATTCGGCTGTCCCCATAGAATAACCCTTTTTGGTTCCAGGTAGAACCCTTTTTGGTTCCAGGTAGAATCATTTTGGGTGCCATGTAGAACCCTCTCTGTGGAAAGGGTAATACATGAAACGCAAAAGAGTTCTACCTGGAACCAAAAAGGGTTCTTCAAAGGGTTCTCCTATGGGGAAAGGTGAAAAACGCTTTTAGGTTCTAGATAACACCCTTTTTGCAGATCTGTGCCTAAGGGACAACATCTACAGCCCGGTGACATACACTCACCTCCCCACAGGCTGTGGATTAGGACTAAGAGGCTTACATTGTTTCACCGTCACATGGACAGATTGGAAGACGTTAAGGGGATTTGGGGAAACTATAGGTTTTGCTGTACTGTAACCCCCATTCCCCCGACACCACCCCACACATTGACCACTGCACCCCTTTCATACACCCCTCCCTACCTGCATCCCATTAATGGAAACTACAGGTGGGCACCTGTCTCTAAGCCTTTGATATAACTTCCTGTCAAAACTGTAACAAGGTAGAATAGTAAGAGCACGTTCTAGTAAGAGTTCAGAGAGCCCTCACACACACACACGCAAAACATACACTGTTGGTGCGCACACACACGTACGCACGCACACACTCTCTCTCCCTCTCTCCCTCTCTCTCTCTCTCTCTCTCTCTCTCGCTCTCTCTCTCTCTCTCGCTCTCTCTCTCCCTCTCTCTCTCTCTCTCTCTCTCTCTCGCTCTCTCGCTCTCTCTCTCTCTTCAGTTCTTTACTTACCTAAGGGTTAGGAAGCAGATGGACCAAACTGGCTAGCCAATGACCAGGAGATATTTTTAGCCTTCCTGTTACCTAGCTGTGCTACATGGAGAGAGGGGAGGTGTGTGTATGCGTATGTGAGTATGCACGGTCTTGTGTGTGTATGTGTTTGTGTATACGCATGCACGCGTGTGTGTCTGTGTGTATGTGTGCACTCACATACGTGTGTGTGTGTGTATGTGTGTGTGTGTGTGTGTGTGTGTGTGTGTGTGTGTGTGAGTGGAGGAGGAGGGATTGTTGGACTCAAAGGGCCTTCACACAAATTTGCTGAGGTCTTAAGACGACGCCCCCTGTTCCTTGCTCAGGGCCCGGTGTTGTTAGGTTCATTCATATAATTGACAGCAGGCTTTGGACTGCTGTGTGTGTGTGTGTGTGTGTGTGTGTGTGTGTGTGTGTGTGTGTGTGTGTGTGTGTGTGTGTGTGTGTGTGTGTGTGTGTGTGTGTGTGTGTGTGTGTGTGTGCTGTGGTGTGTGTGTGTGTTGTGCAGATGGCAGTAATTCCCTTGTGAGTTGTGACTGGGTCTCCTGGCTACTTTCCATCTCACCTACAACCCACTTATCATTATAATCCACACCACAGTACTACTACACCCACAGATAGATAGTAAAAACTGTATATATTGTATATGTGTGTATGTGTGTGTGTGCGTGTGTGTGTATTCTGTACTGGTGGGGTAATGGATCTTTTTAATAGGTAAGACCAGGGGTCTATGTCTAAGGCCAGAAAGGTTATCTCAGGTGAGAGTGGAGTTGATTGGAAAGCACTCAGCACTGGGACATAACCGGAAGTCAGTCCAGCCACACCACATCACATGTCTGCTGGAATAACAGACCAGTCAACAGATTTACTGCACATGTAAGCAGCTCTCCATCTTAAACCAGCAACAACAAACTCTGTGATATTTACTTTTGAGGCCAACCTACTGTAATCTCTGAGGGCTACAGTGGTTCACAAAGTACAGTGACATGCCCTATCCAACAGTGCAGTATTCAATATCAAAATAGAATAACTAATAAGAAAACGATATATATATATATATATATATATATATATATATATATACATCATGAGAAATAAGAAATAAGAGAGGAAGAAAAATACAAAAACAGAAGAATGTCAGCTATATTCAGGGTCAGTGCCAATTCAAAATGCACAATGTGCAGGGATACTGGAGTATTGAGGTAGATACTGTACCTGTATGTGAATAACACAGGGATTTCGGGGTAAATGTGGTAAATAAACGGTAGGGATATTGAGGGCTGTACATCTTAAATAATGATCATTGACTATTGAGTTCAAACACTAACTTACAGCATGTAGGCTAACCTTTTGCTCCTTGGTGAGCACAGGTCATTCTGGTTCAAATCGGTGTGAAATAATACTATTCAAATTCAACTGTTGCGGTCCCCTCAATAATAAACAAAGCATTATAGAACAGACCTACAGTGATAAAATGTAGATATTCATAACAAAACACTATAGACTATTACAGCTCTATAACATGATTGTAGGTCAGTTATGTGTGTAGTGACTGAATGACCTTAATGTGCACTCTGACTCTGGTGCCATACGGTAGGTGTCATCTAAGAGCTAACACGTTGTGTCCAGGCATCGGCTAACAAGTGGTAGAGCAGGATAGTGCGGCCATTAAATCCTCATCAACATACAACCATGCTGCATCACAGCGCCATTTAACTACAGTGTTAGAAAAGTCAAGTGTAGAGTACATTCGATCTCTGGTTGAAAAAATAATGCTGTGCCGTCCGCAAAATTGTAAGAAATTACGTTATTATGACCATTCAATTTCTATTACATGACGTCCCTTTTTCCAATTTGTCAGTCAAACCCAAAAGCTCCACCCACATGTCTACAGCCATGACAACCACAACCACAGTGTGTTAGAACGGACACCGCTGTTACCCTGGCAACAGTGGCACTATGTTCTTGGCACATGGCATCCTTGCCTCCCTTACTGTGAGAGTGATGTTCTCAGAACATGAGACGGCTATAGATCAGCTAGCTAAACAGGAGCGCCATGAACAAATTGTATCAGCCCCACTACCCATACTGCAGTACAAAGGCTGCATCTCAATAGTTGTCCCCATGACCCATAGTACAAAGAAGGCCACATCTCAATAGTCAAAAGTGGCTTCCTCCCCTTTAATGATCTGAACACACAGACAAAATAAATTATGGAAGAACCAGGAAATTGCTTTCACCTGTTCAGTTCATTCATGTCAGTGTAGAAGGGAAGGAGACGAGGAGAGACTTTTGAGACACACCCAAAGTGACCAATACTCCATTTCTCACCACAAAAGATGACAATGATATTACCACTACATTATCTGTACCTTGGTCCAATAGTCATTGAGCCATCTGAAGTAATAGGGTCTGAAATGTTGAAGGCTCAGAGTAAGATAGCATCAGAGACATTTGTGCAGGAAATGCCAAAAGGCACATGGACAACAGGACAAAATACCCTGTTCCATCAGAGACTGTCACGATGACTTACCGTAACGTCAGCCAGAATTACAGATGCAGAGAGATGCATCAGACATTCCACACCATGCTAATTAACCTGCGCTAATTTCCCTCATCGTGATCAGACAGTGTGAACATTTGCATAGAAATAAATATACTCTACTTGTAAACAAATTTCATACCCAACGAGTCACCAAAAAGCCCTGCAATCACAGTTCCTAAATGTGTATCTCTCCTCACTGAGAAAGGCCTGCATGTAGATAATAGATGGGCGTACGTCATAGCCGCTGTTAAAATCCTAACAGACCTCATCCGCTGTACTTTAAGGGTGATTTAAGTGATCATTGTGTATATTACCTCACAAGGAACAACAACTCAAGATTGTGATTTACGTCTAAAACATTGAGAGGGACAGAAAGACGGAGTGACGACAAATATGGCATGAATCATCATATTCAACATGAAGAGGTTCCACTTCCTATTCATCTGAATGGTTATCCTTGAAGAGGAGAGGAGGAGTGGAGAGGAAGAGAGGAAAGGAGAGGACGAGAGGAGGGGAGAGAAGAGGAAGATTATACATTGTAATTGTAATTGAATGTTAAAACAGTTTTGTTCATTAACCACATCACAGTAACAACCTGGTCCATGATGACATTTACCAGTATTCCCTGGAGTAACTAGGCTCATCAAGCTATGGCTTAATTTACAGAGAAAACCATCAAAAGGACATTTCTGCAATCCCACCGGGAGTTGAACTGCATGTTACAATACATAACCGTCTCAGTAGAGACAGCCTATTGATATCATTGAGCAAAGTGGCCCAGGTGATCTACGCATCTATGGAGGGTGTATGTACAGTGGGGAAAAAAAGTATTTAGTCAGCCACCAATTGTGCAAGTTCTCCCACTTAAAAAGATGAGAGAGGCCTGTAATTTTCATCATAGGTACACGTCAACTATGACAGACAAAATGAGGAAAAAAATTCCAGAAAATCACATTGTAGTATTTTTTATGAATTTATTTGCAGATTATGGTGGAAAATAAGTATTTGGTCAATAACAAAAGTTTCTCAATACTTTGTTATATACCCTTTGTTGGCAATGACACAGGTCAAACGTTTTCTGTAAGTCTTCACAAGGTTTTCACACACTGTTGCTGGTATTTTGGCCCATTCCTCCATGCAGATCTCCTCTAGAGCAGTGATGTTTTGGGGCTGTCGCTGGGCAACACAGACTTTCAACTCCCTCCAAAGATTTTCTATGGGGTTGAGATCTGGAGACTGACTAGGCCACTCCAGGACCTTGAAATGCTTCTTACGAAGCCACTCCTTCGTTGCCCGGGCGGTGTGTTTGGGATCATTGTCATGCTGAAAGACCCAGCCACGTTTCATCTTCAATGCCCTTGCTGATGGAAGGAGGCTTTCACTCAAAATCTCACGATACATGGCCCCATTCATTCTTTCCTTTACACGGATCAGTCGTCCTGGTCCCTTTGCAGAAAAACAGCCCCAAAGCATGATTTTTCCACCCCCATGCTTCACAGTAGGTATGGTGTTCTTTGGATGCAACTCAGCATTCTTTGTCCTCCAAACACGACGAG